TTTGTATTAAAAAAAGTACAAATAAAAATATTACTATTAATATTTTAAAATCTGTTTAATAATATACATGTATATTTAAAGACATATAGAAAATTTTAAAATATATAATTAATTACAGGTTTAAAAAAAATATTAAAAAACTATATTAAACTATTTTTATATGTTAGACTTCTCTTTATTCTAGCATTCTCTCTATTTAGTTTAGCTGTCATAGCTTGAAAAAAAAGATATACCATCTAAATTTTGTAACATAATATAATATAATATTTACATATATCATAGTTTCCATGCCAACAAAAATATTAACATATCTCTCAAGGATCACAAACAGCTTCAAAATCGTATCCAACTCTTTAGCTGTTTTGAGTGCAGGGTATTTTAATAGCCCCTTAAAGATTTTAAGCTACCGTCAAGATTCTCAATACCTCGAGAGCCCAGCAAACATTTTTTAGCTTTTTTTTTTTTTGTGTTTGGTAAATGCGACAAAGTCGGCGAATTGGCTGCGATAGAAGCAACAACAACGAAAACAGCAACAACGACAACGACAACAGCAACAGCAACAGCAACAGCAACAGCAACAACGGCAACGGCAACGACAACGAGCAACGCTTCTGAGAAGTCTGAAGCTCAGTCGAGTTGAAACAGTCGTACTTTGTCTTTGGCCAGCGACGCGTCGGTCGTTGGTTGTCTGCGGATTATTAGCCGCTTGTCGGATGAACGTTTCACGTTTATGGCGCTGCCTTTTTCGGACGCAACAGGACGCACCTTAAAATGTACATGAATATACATACATATGTATGTATATATATATGTATAGGCGTGTATGCATGTACATAATTCGCGTCGCGTTGTCTAACCTTTAATTGAAGAAAAAAAAACTAAAAACTAAAAAATAAAATAAAATAACCAGCAACTGGCAGCTGGCAACTGCCAATTGGCAGCCAGTTGGAGTCGGCGTTGAAGTCCACTCAGAAATTGACAAGTGCTTGGAGCTCGGAAGCCGGCTTTGTGTCAGTTGTTTTGGTGCTCACTGTGTCAAATGTGTTGAACCTTAAAGTGGCTGCAGCTCAAGTGCTTAGCACAGACGCAGTCAGTCACTCAGTCAGTCAGTTAGTCTGTCAGTCAGTCTGTCAGCTTTTCAGTTTGTCCATGTTGCTTATCATATTGTTTGACTTTGAGCCTCTTTTGAATTATGCTTTGCTATCTGCACAGTGCCCCTGCCCCGTCTCACTTTTATCACACCTGCCTTGAATAGCCTCAAAGCACTTCCCCAACAACTCTAAAATTGTTCTCTTTTTTTTTTTAAATATAAAATCCACTTCAATGTAAACTCGTGAGCTGCACATCCCGTCCGAAATTGAAGCAACAAGAATTCGTTACTTTATAAGCTGTACAAAAATATTATCTTTCAAGTCGAATCAACGATTTTGTGCACGATTAATTTAATAGGAGCTGCGAAGGCCGAAACTTGAATACTCTTGACAAGATTTGTAAGAATAGTTTATTGTAATCTAGTCTCGATAACTATGCCAGCCTTAAGTTGAAATAAGCCAATCTGACTAATTATGATATACACATACTATATCAAGTCTAGAGTGTCATATAAAAAAGTCTTAGTCCAGCTAGCTTCAGTTCAAGCAGAGTTCTTATAGGCATTAATTGATGTACATACTGCGAATAGTATTCCATTCACCGTCCGCCATTACATAACTAAGCCTCAAGGCTCTCTTGAAGCGTACACAAATCATTTTCAATTTAAAGATCAATTAAATGTGCCAAAAGTGTATTTGTTCAATGAGTTGGCAAATTGATCGACCTGCGTGTAGCAGGGGCTTGGCCAGACTTGCCACAAACTTAAGGCGCAGAGCATACTCCATATAAAAAATCGATTTGCCAAAAATAGCCGAAATTCATTTATAATAATACCATAAATACAAAGAAATTAATCTAACAATTTTCGAATACAAAAAATGTATAAAAATAAACCTATGCAAAGCCCAAAATTCCTTTGTTGTTGTTGATTTTTTTTTTAATTGCAATAATCAGAAATTGTAGACAAAGTGCGTCGCGTATTACGGAACTTAGCTGTGGCATTTGTGCTGTGATAAATATAATTGAAGACCAGGCGCCAGCTTAGTAAGAGGAGACGATCGCAGAGTGCGGGAGCTACGACTCGTGGGTGCTGCTATCAATAGAAATAAAAATTAATAACAAAATTGTTAGGGGGCATTGTGTTGTAACCCTTTTAAGATATAGTTAAATATTTGTATATGCTATAAATTGCAGTGAAGAGGGGTATATACAGCCTCTTAGAATTAAAAAAAAATTAAAAATAAATAATAATGATAATAATAATAATTAAATTTAATAAGTTGAAAATCTCTTATTTTGTAGAAATAACAAAAGAAAAATTATGTGTTTTATAAAAAAAAGCAGAGTGTTTCCTAGTCGGGCAGCCGTCGCAGTTCCTTCTCATATGTATATGAGTTTGCAAATCAAGTTGAAATTGACTTGATTTACATAATTTTTAATAGGGCTAATTTAGGTTAAGTAGCTCGCATTAAATTTAATATACATTAACTTAGAATTGAGCACTTCAAATGAAATTTTCTAGAGCAAAGGGTAACCAAAAGGTTAGCGTATTTTCCGTTAGGACACTTTAAATTAGGTTAGGGTAACTTAAAGTTATGTTTGATTGTAGTGTTTTGTTGACATTGTCGTTTTATCGCGCCGTCTTCATTGTTGTCTCTTTTTTTTTGCACAGTAATTGATAAATGTGTCTTTTATCAGTTGATGATCAAAAGTAATTAAATGAGTGGAACGTGAAATAAAAGAACACCAAAGAACACACACACACACAAAGACAGTGTGAAAAGTGCGTAAAATGTGCGCGAGACGGAGATAATTGTCCAGAGAGAATTAACAGTAATAATTATAAAACAGAACAAACAATTTGCCAAGTGGCTGGATAAATACCAAAAACGCCGTACCACCAGACGTAGCGGAATTTCAAACATAAATAGCAAAAACAACAACAACATCGACGCAGATAAAAACAAAGAAGCGTCGCGTCGCAGCAGAACTTTTTTTTTGCCGCGCTGCGCGAAGGTAAGCAGCGCAGCAGCAGAAGCAGAAGCAGCTGCAGCAGCAGCAGCAGCAGCAGTCGATAAAAATGGCGTTCAAGTGCAGCAGAGTCAAGTGCTGCACCGTTATTCTGGCGGCCATTGTTGTGCTAAGACTGCGCATCTGTTTAGGTAAGTGCGACAGAGACAGCGCATGCGGAGCAATCCATTGTGTTTGCTGTTTCTCTAGTAATTGGAATACAAATGTTTGCACGCGTCATGCAAATGTCAACAATTAAATGTAAATATTTAATAGATAAGCGACTTGTGAAAGAGCGACGACAGCAGACGACAAATTTACAGCTACAAATTGTA